CCGATTTCTTACTGTTAAAAATAAAAAACAAAAACAAAAAAAAAATCAGCCAATAGGAATAGGAGAGAGAGTGCGGCACCCGGACCCCCCAACCCTTTCCCACATTGGCTTTCCCGCACTCCGGATGCGGTGTTCTGGTGAGCGAGAAAGGGTCCTGCTGCCCTTCCCCCGGCTCTCCGTCAACTCTTAGGATTGAAAATTTGTTTTATGTATGTTATGGAAAAAATGATATGTGAACGAATAATAGGTCGGAGAAGAATATAAAGTTCAAAATTCAAATAAGAAGAAAGCTAAACAACCAAATTAAATTGCTCTTGAAATAAATCAACGTACAATCATTACAACATTAACACCCTTTGGCGTCGACATTTTATGAACCTGTACCGACGACATGTAATAGGGATAGGGTATATTGACGACGTGTCGTCAGCACATAGTCGTTGGCATAGGTGTTGTCGACATAGAGTCAGTGGCGGAGCTTGAACATTTGATTTGAGAGGGTCGAAAATATAATATATATAAAAGTTGGTGATAATATGTATAAAATTAAAGTATAAACACTAGTTTTAACCAAAAAATCAAGGGGGCTGTGCCCCCCTCGCCCTAGTAAAGTTATGCCCATGCACGGAGTCGTCCAGGTGGAAATAGCCGTCGGTATAGGGTCCGTCCAAAATGATTTTCAAAAAAATTATGTTTTATTAAATACATGTGGCGACGAGATATCGTCAGGACAGGTATAGCGACGACTTGTCGTCGCTATAGATACCAACTATAGCGACGACATGTCATCGACACAGGTTTGTATCAGTCGTCGAGATAGATTTTTCACACGGATCGCCACGTGGCATGCTGACGACAAGTTGTTGAGATAATTTTCTGAAAACTACGTCGTTTCTATTTTCCACATCATGGAATAAAATTAAATGGAAATTACATTTGTCGTAACCTATATCGACGACTTGTCGTCGTGTAGGTTTTCAGAAGACCGCGAAAAATATCGTCGTTCCCGCTGAATCAGTGGCGACGACATGTCATCAACACAGCTCTTCAACAGCTGGAAAAGGACCAAATTATTATAAACTAATTATTTATACTGACATTTTGGTATTGAAACAGCGTTAAGAAATGGTCGAAACTTGTAATTTACTCAATTATTTCAAATTTTAATCATTCCATGCAGTATAATTACCTAAATCTCGAATTTGATACGAAGTCATTATAAAGTTTCATATATCTGAGACGAAGTGGTAACCAAGTATCAAAATTTACTATTTACCAGGATACATAAGCTTTGATTTGTGTTGAAATCTAATGACGATATGTCAATGCAATGTTCAATTAATGTCTTTTAATGTGTAATAATTTTGGGAAATCTTCACAGAAAAAGGAATGAACTGAAATATTTCCTCCACCATACTTTAGAAATCGTTCGGTTATGAACTGAAATATTTGCATCTGATCTATTTTATAACAGAGAACATCTGATCTATGGAAAACCATGATTTCCCTCAATGTATTTTCGGGTTGAGGGAAATGTTAGTTGAAACGAAGCTATCATATATATACGTCAGCAAAAGTGTGACACTACAAGAAACATTGTATCCAATAATAAAGAATCCTTTGAAATAAATATAAATAATAATAATAAAACGAAGTCAAGCTTAATTTCAGGGACTTAAAGAATATATATAGCATCTCTCATTAACCACGTCTTTCTTTATATATAGACTTCATCAGTATAACGGTTAAGGTATTACCTGAAAGAAGTCTCTCTCTCTCTCTCTCTCTCTCTCTCTCTCTCTCTCTCTCTCTCTCTCTCTCTCTCTCTCTCTCATCATGGGCTTTCTCAAGATTCCTGTGATTGACATGGTAGATATGAAACAAAGCACATCTAGTAGTTCCAGCTGGTCTTCGGCATGCAGTGAAGTGAGGCATGCACTTGAAGAATATGGTTGTTTTTTGGTCGTTTGTGACACTGTTACTAAGGAAGCACGTAGGGAAGTATTTGATGCCTTAGAAACCCTATTTGATCTTCCGCTGGAAACAAAAATAAAAAACACTTCCGATAAGGCTTACCATGGCTATGTAGGCCAAATCCCGTTTCTTCCACTGTTAGAAAGCATGGGAATTGAGCATGCTACTAGTGTTAATGCAGTTAATAACTTCACAAATGTTATGTGGCCCTCTGGAAACGACAATTTCTGGTAATTATTATGTAGTTAATGCTATAAAAAATATACAGCAAGCATGCATGCATCCATATTGTCATCTAAATAAAAGACAACAAGAAGAAACTTTATTTTGACGAAAAAATTAACCTTGGGTTTCCATGCGGTGGGTTACGTACTAATCCTTTCTTTTGGTTCTCTTATGATCAGTAGAATGATTCAGTCATATGCAAAACTAGTTTCTGAAATTGAACAAAGCGTTAGGAAGATGGCGTTTGAAAGCTATGGAATGCATAGGTACCATGAATCCTACAATGAATCCGTGACATATCTTCTCAGAGTAATGAAATACAGACCCCCGAATGGAGGCGAGACAAAAATGGGTTCCATTTCTCACACGGACAAGACATTCATATCCATACTCAACCAAAACCAAGTGAAGGGATTAGAGGTTAAATACAAGGACAACAACTGGATCCATGTGGAGTATCCTCCTTCATCTTTCTTGGTCATGGCAGGTGATGCATTCAAGGTAAGATTATCCCTATGAAATCCAACACTTCTCTTAATTAGAAGGTACATACGTGATACATTAAGTGTTATATGCATAGGCATGGAGTAATGACAGAGTGCACTCTCCTTATCATCGAGTAGTCATGGAAGGGCATGCATATAGATACTCAATAGGGTTATTTACATACCACAAAGGGATCATATCAGTACCGGAAGAGTTAGTTGATGAGGAGCACTCGAGAAAATTCAAGTCATTTGATCATTTTGGATATCTTGACTTCTACGACTACGACTCATTGTTTGAGCAAGAATACTGTCACATTAAATCATATTGTGGGGTGTGATACATCGGTTTTACTTTTGAACGACGCTTCAACAAGTTTGTCAATTATCTTTGTCTTTTACGATATATGTTGTGGATCATGAATGTGTGCGCGGTGCGGTTTGGTGCGGTTTATAGTTAAAACCGCACCGCATATGCGGTTTGAGAATTTTAGAAACCGCAAACCGCACCACGGAAACTTTAAACGTCGTTGTGCGGTGCGGTTTAGTGCACGCGGTTTGTCCGGTTTAAATACGGTTTGATTAGTTTTTCAACATTATGCGGTACCGGTTGTTCTATTTCATAAATCATACGCTGTAATTATTCTTTTAGAGACAATTACAATCATGATATGTTGATAATTTAAATTAGTTAAAAATTATAACATAGTTATGAATGTATTGTACAATTAACTAATAAAAGTAGATCTATGTGTATATATTAATCGTAAAGAAGTATTTCATCATAATTTCTAAAGTAAATTTAAGAATGAACCAATTGAGTTGTGGGTTTAACAAACAATTTAGTAGTAAAGTTTTTTATATATGTTTGTGAATAGTTTTAGGGAAAATGACATAAATGTCCTATAAGTTGACCGATTCAGTCTTTATAGGGACATAAGGTTGGAAGCAACTGTTTTTTTAGTCCTTCTAACCTGTTTTAAGTCGGTTTCAGTGGACACATCAGTTATTTTTCAATTAAAAGTCAAAATCATACTATGACTTTCTTAAAATCGATTTCCATTTAATTTGAGCACACTTTAAATTAACCTAAACAATTATGGAGGGACTTCTAATTAATCTACAAATTTAATCAAACATGAAAAGGGATCGTGAGCATAAGAAAGAAGCAAAGCCATCGTCGCCATCTTCAATGGCGGTTGGAATTGGAAAGGCTAAACATTTTCATCAGTCGTTGCCGGATTCTGGCGGAATGGATGAGCTTCTGGAGGTGTTGGGTTACAAGGTGAGGTCAACGGATATGGCGGATGTAGCCAAGAAGCTTGAGCATATTGAAATGGTGATGGGTGAAGATGAGATTTTGCAACTGTCTAATATTGTTCATTACAACCCTTCTAATCTATCTGGTTAGGATCAGAGCATGCTTTCCGAGTTCAACACCAACAGTTTTGATAGTCCGTCTTCGACCAAAATTGGGTTTTTAAAATCGGAATCTTGAAAGGATGATTGTCAATTTAGAACTTTTTTTTACTGCCTTTTCCTTTTGTAGGGTGTAAAAGTCTATGCCTTTTTAAAGTTTGTCTCTCTCGTTAGTGGCAATTTAAGAGGTTTTCAGATAGCGGTTTGCTTTCTTTCTTGTTTCATCGCATGGATTTGTTTCACATGTGGTTGTGATTCAATATTTTCCATAAAGATTCCTTTGCTCTTGCAATTCATTTCTCACATGACTAAATTACTTTTGTCGATTTGATTATAAGATTTTTAAGACTTTTATTGACTCCAACGAAAAGTAGATGTCCAGCAGATTGGGAAAGAGGAAAAAAAGAGATGTCCAGGAGGAGACCCGAATGGATGTGAATGGAGAGCAGACAGGAGAAAAAAGTTGGGGAAGAAGATGAATAGTACTGGGTTTATGTAGTTTAAGAGAAAACTGGTCAAACAAATGTGTACATTGCAAAAGGGGTAACCGGGTTACCCCTTCATTTTCTGCAAAAGGACATAATCGACCCGACAAATATGACTTTGTTCCCTCATAAAACCACAAAAATAGTTTAGAGACTAAATGGATCAACCCTAGAAAGCTTTTAGGGCATTTGTGTCATTTTCCCATAGTTTTATATATTAACTTTCAAGAATGAATGTTATGAGTAGCAAGTCATAAAAATCTATGTTAAAATTATACTAATATATGAGGTCATTATATATATATATATATATA